ATAACCATGTTTTGAAGACTGATCATACCGTTCCTGATGCTGCCCACCTCTGACATCAAATGTCTGCAACAGTGCATTTCTGTAGTGTATAATAACATAGTTTGAATATGCACTTTCTGTTATTCATAACTGAAACTATGTAAATACTAGTGCAATATTATCATCCCCCTTTTACAGAGAAGAAAATTGAAACTTAGAAAATAAGTTAGGTGGCTGGGGTTCACATAGTCAAGTAAGTAGCAGAGTAGAGATATGAACTTAGGTCTTTCTGTTTACAATATCCAGGTTTACTCTATCCCCCCCTCCCCGCCCTATTATTCACTTAACAGAATTCTTTCCCCATTCTTGTTATTAATACCATGTTCTTTCCTGCTATCCTTTTTTTTTTTTTTTTTTTTTTTTTTTTTTTTTTTTTTTTTTTTTTTTTTTTTTTTTTTTTTGCTTCCCTTTTTTTCTCAGATGAAGAAGTGGTCCTTCTCCCTGTGGCTAGATTAGCCTCTCCCCTAATGATCTTGGTATTATTCTCCTTGCCTTCTTCAGGATTTTGCTTTATCAATCATTCAGGCTCTTGAATTGTCAATTTCTTCTTTTCACTTCAGCATACGAATAAATTCAAGTCATGCCTCACGCCTCCACCCTTACTCTTGGTCCTGATGATAACTCTTTAAGCTAGTCCCTCCTTTATTACATGCACCAAGAAATTTCTAGAAAATGCGGCATTTGTTTGCTATTTTCCTCTTAATTGCAGTTGCTCTCACAAGAGTCTCTGAGTAGGGAGAGGCGTTGCAACCCTCCCTACCCAAAGGAAAAGGAAATATTACATTGTGTTACAGGTTCTACTACTGGTTGGGTCATGGTTATTAGTGGGCAGGGTCAATGTGTGTTAAAATATCATCCATGACTCATGCTTTGTTTTGGGTTTCCTGCCCCCTGTCTCCCTGTAGTAAGCAACAGATCTAGACAGGGCATTGCTCTAGTGGGGCATGCTGATCATCTATTTTTTCTTACCCTTCCTTCCTCCCTCCCTCCTACTCCTCCTTAGAGCAAGTCAAAAAAACCCAAGATTTTGCAGGACCTCCTAAGCACCTATTTTTATATTCCATAACCATGCCATGGGACTATGATTTACTGTTGTACCTATTAAAATATAATACGTTTATTCTGATGCTGCTATTGTCTATTACATGTACAGAAAGGAGGAATGGTCAATAGGGCAGGGTTCTGACATTACTGGGTTTCTGAACATACGACCATCAAACGAACATTCTGATTCTCAGCAGAAATCTTTGACACCCCCCCCGCCCCCAGCCTTACTATGGTATGATTGATAAACAAAAACTATACATATTTAAGGCGTATCATGTGATGTTTTGATATACATTGTGAAATAATGACCACAATCAAGCTAATTAGCATATAGTATATTCATCACCTTAACAGTTTTTTTTGCGTGTGAAAACACTTAAGATATACACTATTAGCAAATTTAAAGTGTACAATATATTATTAACTATTACCTATAGTCATGGTGGTGTACATTAGATCTTCACCACTGACTTTCTGTTGGTAATATTCAATGAATTCAAAAGAATTTTTATTCTCTTTGATATCTATGCAATATGTTTGATCCTCTTAGCCAGTCTCTCATTCTTGAAATGCTTTACTTGGTTTTTATGCCATGTAATTGTACTAGTTACTCATGGTAACTCAAATCTGTTGATTATATAGTCCAGGATTTCTTTGCTTGTCTTCTGGGAAAATAGTACCCCAGATTTCACAACCTCAGCCATGATTTACTTGCACTCACAGCTCAAGATGTGGGCCCTGATCGGCTCTAATTGGTCAGCAAACAATCTCTCAGTTATGGTAACTGGGTCAAGGAGCGGCACATAATTGACAGATCCAATTGGATACTGTACAATAAGTTTTTGAGGACTTCAGAGAAAGAAACCCTTTTTTTTTTTTTGCCCCTTAGATATAAGTGAATATAGAGTTTGGAGCTTGCTGGAGCCACGTGACCACCACATGGAATTTGAAAATGGCACCAAAGTATCAAGAAGCAAAGTGGAGAGATGAAGCAAAGTCTCTTGGTGACCTCCTGGAGTTTGAGTTCTACATCCAGCTACCTTGAAACCAGCCTATTACAAACTTTTTAGAGACAAGAACCAATAAAGTCTCCCTCTCTCCTATGATTTTGGCTTAAACCTGTTTGGTCTGTTTTTGTTTTGTTTTGTTTTTTTTCTCCTTTGCAATCTAAATAATGCAAAAACAAGATAATCTCTGCATTTTATTGTGTACATATAAATACATACATATAAATTCATGAATTCTAGAAAGATACATTTCAAAGTGCTAGGAGTGGTTATCTTTGGGGAAGGGGGGCTATAGTGGCAGGAGAGATGATTGGTAAGAGATTTATGTGTTTTTTCTTAGACTGCTTTACAAAAAGGATCAATTACTCATAAAATTAAAAACAAACATCCAATAAACAAAGACAACACTCTGTTACCAGCCCCACCACCCCCTCCCAACAATAACAACATCTATTGAATTACATTAGTGACCAATGTCTTTGATATTCAGGATCTGCAGCAGTGTAACTAAAGCTTCTCTCTTCTTTCCCTCTTCTATGACAGGTCCTTAGTGTTCCTGGAGGTTTGTAAAGCAAATGTACTTAAAATAGAGGCTTTGGAACTTACCTTGCAAACCAATAATGATTCTTATAATTCGTATTTACCCTGCAATGGTAACCAGTTATATCTTAAAATACATTTTCATGCTTACTCTAGTCAATGAGTAGTTGCTGCACCATTTATCTGTTTTGCAAACAATACAAACAAAGCACAATCTAATCTAGAGGCTTGTCTGAAGTTGCACAGTGAAACATTGATTGTGATGGGACTCATGCCTTTCGATTCTCTGGTGATGAGTTTTCCATTTCACACAGTCTCACTTGAGGCAGAGTCCGGGAAGCTCCATTTAGGACTCATCTCAGGTGCTAAAATAAACTTGGCTCCTTCCAATGCCAGAGAGAACTCTGCTTAACTTTCTGATGCCTTTTTTTTTTCATGTCATATTTCTTTTTAGATGTAAACTGACCTTAGGTATATAAATCCACTAATGATACAGAACAGAACAATTTTAAGTGGTTTAGTGTTCCGTGACACAAAATCTGAATCTCCAGAAAGGGATGCTCAGGAGCATTCAATACACCTGCCTGGAGTGAAAGACAGTTTGTTGCATCTCAGCAAGAGGAACTGTTAACCAGTATCAGATGAATCTCATCTGGGGAGCCTGTCTCTTCAGAAGTGGTGAACCGACTCACCACTAGGGGGCGCAGGCTTACTATAATAGAGGCGGAAAAAGCTAACGCTCTCACCTGAATCTTTCAAGTCTGAATATTAAAGAATTCCTTGCTCCGGAGCTAAAAGCTCTCTCTCTTTAACTGATCTCTGGGAATGACGATAGAGCCTTGCTTTAATGCCACACAGTAAGTTTAAGTCCTCTGAGCTCATTCATCCGTTTTGTCCTGGTCTCTGGAAAAGAAAGTGTTATATTATGCAGATAATCATGACAGATAATCCAAATGAAAGCAATTTTGACAAATTCTAATATAAGTTTTTATTGAAATAGGGATGACAAAATCCTCTTCTCTAAAAGGGAAATCGTTTAGACTTCATGAAAAATAGGTCTCAGGCTAAGGATCTTTTGCTCGAAAAGAGGAAATAAAAGAGATCTGGAACTGTGAGAAATCGAATCCTATCCTGCTTTACTTCGTGCCCTCAGCCTGAAGAATGAAAGCAAATTAGAGAGTCTAGGTAATCTTTCTTTCTCTTTTGAAGTGTAACTGTATAAAATGATTTACAAATGATTTAAATCAAAGTGGAAGGAGGGGACTCAACAACTGGCGATGAATTCAACAGTTAAAAAAAATTGGTCACACATAATGCCATCTTTGCTTTGTTACAAGAAAATAAGGCACATCCTTCTTTTTTTGGTAAGCATGTTGGGGAAGGGAAGTGGATGTTGCCTATTAAATCACAGATTGGATTCTAGGGGTTTACTTTCTACCAGTGGGAACTACCTGGTTATACAAGAATGTATAAATGTAAATCTTCCTTTACACATCAGGGATGCATGGAAGGAACTTTGGGATTCACCTGGGGAGATACATTATGTCTTCAAAGAATTAAGATGCACCAGGTCTTTACAATAAGCATAAATTGAGGAAGGGCTGGCAATGAGAAGAAACTGCTTATGGAAATGGGAGGATACAGTCCTGAATGCTCCAGAACAAACTCAGTTATGTCACAATATTATAAAAGAAGGAAGGCTTGCCATGTGCCATACCAGCATATATTTTCTAGGCCCTTTCCAGCTCTGGCCAGCCCCAGGTTGTTAGAAGGCCTATCAGGATGTTTTGAGGGGTTCTCTCCCTAGCCTCCCATACCGTGCAAGCATTGCAGGCCGTTTCTGCCGTCTGGAAGCCTATTATTTGGCATTCCCACATTGGCCTGCTCCCCAGTTGCGGCCCCAAGCCAGTGTTCATTCCCTGCAGATGCCAGTCCCCTAAATTAAGGAGCCTTGGTCACAGGTCGCCCTCAACCAGGAGGGTGGGGTTCGGAGGTCCCAGCAGGCTTGAGCCTGGCCCCGCCCAGAGAGGGGGCGGAGCCTCTCCGCGGCCCTGCCCCGCTGGCCCAGGGTGCACGTGACCCGGGGCCCCGCCTCCCGCCCGCTCCGCAGCGCCAGCTCGGCAGGCGCGGGGCGTGAGTCTCGAGTGAGACCCGCCAGCCTCCAACTCCGCAGCGCCGGAGCTCGGCGGGCAGCAACTTTCTCCCCGGAGCGGCCGCGGCGGCGGCGGCTGCGGCCGTGGCAGCCGGAGCGGGAGCCCGGAGGACGAAGGCGGCGGCCGTTGCTCCTGCCCTCTCGGGCTGTCCAGCGCTCCGAGACCGCCGGCCCGCGGAGCCTCGTCCCCCCGGGAAGTCCCGGGCCCCTGCCCTATGTCCCGCAAGGCGAGCGAGAATGTGGAGTACACGCTGCGGAGCCTGAGCAGCCTCATGGGCGAGCGGCGCAGGAAGCAGCAGGAGCCGGACGCGGCGAGCGCGGCGGGGGAGCGCAGCCTCCTGGCGGCCGCCGAGTCGAGCGCCAGCCTGCAGGGCGCGGGCGCGGGCGGCGGCGGCGGCGTCGGGGACCTGGAGCGCGCGGCGCGGCGGCAGTTCCAGCAGGACGAGACCCCCGCCTTCGTGTACGTGGTGGCCGTCTTCTCGGCGCTGGGCGGCTTCCTGTTCGGCTATGACACCGGCGTGGTGTCGGGGGCCATGCTGCTGCTCAAGCGGCAGCTCAGCCTGGACGCGCTGTGGCAGGAGCTGCTCGTGTCCAGCACGGTGGGGGCGGCCGCCGTCTCGGCGCTGGCCGGCGGGGCCCTCAACGGCGTCTTCGGCCGCCGCGCCGCCATCCTGCTGGCCAGTGCCCTCTTCACGGCCGGTTCCGCGGTGCTGGCCGCGGCGAACAACAAGGAGACGCTGCTCGCCGGCCGCTTGGTCGTGGGGCTCGGCATCGGTGAGTTCGCGCTCTTGGAAGGGCGTCCTTGGCCCTGGTCGCTGCATTCCTTTTGCCCCTCCGGGGTTCCCGTCGGGGCTTGCTGGTCCCGAGAATACTCGCTTCTCTTGCTCCTTGAGAGCCCATCTGTCTGTTACTCCAGCATCAAAGGCACCCGCGAAGGTTGTGGGGCGGCGGAGGTGGGTGGTGTTCGCTGTGGGCTCCCCTGAGCCCGCGTGGAATCACTCACGGACAAGTGAATCCGCGTGATTGTTGCATATCTCAGTACTTCTAGGAATTCCACTCATCACCTTGATCCAGCCCTACCTGATGCCCCCCTAGGGCTTATGAGAGGAAGGTCTCCTTCCTGTAGCGTCTCACTGTATTTTTTTACTGCTAGCCCCTTTCTTTTTCTAGGATTCCAAGCTCTGAACCTATCAGTCTTAAAGTCCCAGTAAGATAATTTCTAAAGTTAATTAAGTGATTCTGGACTCTTTTCTTTGCCACCCCTGCTCTTTCCTTATTTAGTTATTTATCTTTAGATGTAGTATTATTTTTATCTCCTATTGTTTTTACTATTGTATTACCTCTTGCTTTCATGTTTTCCCCAAGTGAATTCCTTCTTTGTTTTTCTAACTTTTTCCTTTAAATCCATATCCACCCATTCTCCTTTTCCCTTTTGCCTCTCTTGCTTTCCTGTTGGGAACCAAATTATCTATTAAAGGTCATGTTCACTTATTAAATTCATTTAGGAGCCACTCCCCCTGTGGATAAATGCCCAGCAAGATAGATGTTTGCAATTACTTTAAAAAATGAAAGGATTAAGGTTCCCCTGGCATTGATTTTTCACCCTGGTTGCTGAGCAGGGGAGGTACAATTGGCAAGTTCTTGGCAGACGGAAGCTATTTGGAATGTGCTTGGTATTATTAGAAAGCACTTTTGAGGGAAAGTAGGGGGTTGAGACATAAATCTCACTAGTAATTTTTCTAAGACACACTGCTGATGCTTTATAAATGTTTCATCCCATACTTCAGTTTGTTTCCTTTAGGGTGCTGTTGAAGTATTTTTTTCTCCCTATGACTGGGACTTGAAAGCTCTTGAAACCTAGAACTCCTAAAGATTTGTCCATTCACCACTTGTTTGACATATTCTGTATTTCACCCCCTTCCTTCCAGTCTCTAAGAGGAAGTGAGACCCATTTATATAATTCCATGTTCAGGAACTGTGAGCCTAAACCCCAGCTCACTGCACTTTACATCCAAACTATTTCATTGCTGACCTTTCTTTTGTTTATTGTACTGTTAATTACTGAAGCAGGGCAAGACTCTCAGTAAAATATTAAGTTGGCACATGAAGGTCCCAAATGACCAGAAAGTACAGCTGAAATGGAACCTGTCTGTAGAGGAACTACCTGTGCCTTCAGGACCCTTCGATAAATAACCTGTGGTTAAAGCCAAGTGATCAGGATTCTTTCCTCAGTATTCTCAGCATTCTCTGCTTGGGACACCTGGACCATGTTTATTGTTTCTTCTGACCTAGAGATAACATAATTGTAGGTCGCAAGATATGTTCAGTGAGACCGAATCTTGTGATTTGGAAACTGAATCATGTTTTACAGAGATCTTTGAATGAAGCATGGCAAGTATTGCGTATTTGGATATCATGTGTACTCTTTTTTATCGGCTGGGAAAATTGAGCCCCTGTTGTGTGTAAGGCCCCCTTGGAAATACTGTGTTGTAAGAGTAGCAGGGTGGGAATAAAGCCAGGTAGGACTTGCGAGGCTCCATAAGAAAGTCTTTCCCCGGAGAGAGGGCTGATGCATTCAAAAAGGGTACAGTTCCCTAACAGAGGCTGGAAAGAAGCGCTTCCTCCTGGAATTGGATTGTTGATGCATGAGTAGTGTTTGGACAGAGATGCGTGAAGGACCTTCTCAGCCAGGGAATGAATAAAGAAAGGAAAGCATAGGGCTTGCTTGGGGAACAAGGTGGATGCGACAAAGAGGATTAAACCCGAGGTAAGATCGGAAGAGTTTGTGTGCAGGAACCGTAACACCTCTTACCTCAGCCTCATTCTGTGGCACTTGGGCTGCTTGCCTGACGGTGCATCCCAGTTGAGACGTGGTCCTGATCTGGTCCTGGTGTGACCCACCTCCCTTCTCTGAAAGGCACTTCAAATAGAAGCATTGCTACAGAGTACCATAAAAGCTTTCTTATAAAATGAGGAATGTTAAGGTCATAAACACGCTTTGAAATAGGCCACGTTTCGAATTAGGATTATGCAGAGCATGTTGTACATGTAACATCCTTAAGTCACAAAAATTACTTCCCAAAGGAGAAGTCACAGAATTCTTTTTAGCTGCAAGGAAATGGGTCCCTGACATGATTTTTTTTTTAAGGGACTTTAAATCAGTTTTGCTTGTTTAGTACACTAAATCTGGGTTAATTTCATGCTACTTCTTTTTAAGTAGTTAAATTTTATGTGTGGTGAGGATTTTTTTTTTTATTTTTGTTTTTTGGTCCTTTTCATTCTTAGTAGATGATGAATAAGACAAAAAGTGGCTTTTGATACCTTTTCAGACAAGTGTGCAGTGATAATTTCTTTCACAGATTTACCTGTGGTAAATACAAAGCCCATGGGGACACAGCGTTTGTTCATTTTGTTCATGGCTGTATTCCTAGCCTATAGGAGGCACTTGTTGATTAAATGAATAGTGAGCAGAAACATTAAAAAAAATTAATTCCACGGGTGCCTGAGTGGCTCAGTCGGTTAAGCATCCGACTTAGACTCAGGTCATGATCTCAGGGTTGGTGGGTTCAAGCCCTGCGTTGGGCTCTGTGCTGACAGCTTAGAGCCTGGAGCCCGCTTCAGATTCTGTCTCCCTCTGTCTGCCCCTCTGCCACTTGTACTCTGTCTCGCATTGTCTCAAAAATAAGTAAACGTTAAAAAAAATAATAATTCCATTCTGTTAGGGTACCAGTTTAAAATGGGATTTTTCTTAAAAAAGTGTATTATCAGAATATTTGAAAGGCCATCTAAGGGTTTTAGTTGCTAACAGTTTAAAGAAATCATTTATTCACAAAATGCTAAGTAAGCTGTATTATTGATTCTGTCAGATTTAGAGTAGGCGTTAATTAAAAAAAAATCTCATCCTGGAGGTGTTCATTCTCTAATAGAAAGATCATCGACAAATGATTAGAATACAACAGAAGTTTCTCTAAGAGCGGGAAACACAGACTAGGCAATGGATTATTTTGGAGAGAAGTAAATAGAACACATAGGTTTTACAGAAACATTTAAACTGGGGTTTGAAGGGTGAGTAGGAGTTCAGGAGATATAGAGGGAGCTGGGAAAGGAACTAATGTATTTAGTGCTTTGGTTTCTATTAGGCACCCTGAATTACTTACATATGCTATCTCATTTAATCCTTCTAACTCTGAAATAGATGGGGCACAGGTTCCCCTTTTGCTGGATGTGGAAATAGTTTACAGCAGTTAAATGACAAGGTCACCGGTACAAAGTCAAGATTAAAAAAAACACTCAGTCTTTTGCTCTTTATATTACTCTGCTGGGCATTTAAAGTAACATTAACAGCAGATGTAAAGGCACAGAACAATCAAAGCAGTATTTGAAGCATAAAGTGAGTGAAGGGTCGTGATGGGGGTGCTCATTGGGGGGAGGGTTGGACTGATTAGGATTAATTGGCCATGCCTATACAGGGACAGTCATGGGAGGTTTTTAGCTGGAAATGATACAACCAGATTAAACATCCTTTGTATCTGGTCTTCCGCCAGCCCCCAACTTTTAAACTCTTACTTTCTTCCCGAAACCTTCTTGCTTCTTTGAATTTTGTAGTATTAGAAATCCTTTGCCGAGATGGTTACTGCAGGGTGAGTAAAGCATAGCAAGTGGCCAGGAATTACAGGAATGGGAAGAGTCTGTGGGGCCTTCAACAGAAACCTTTGAAAAAGATAAAGCTGTCAAGCAATAGAGTGTAGTTAATCTGTATTAAATGAGTCACGGTAGGGGCGCCTGGGTGGCGCAGTCGGTTAAGCGTCCGACTTCCAGCCGAGTCGATCATGAGTCTACGTGGTTGAGCCCAGCGTCGAGCTCTGGGCTGATAACCGGGCCTGGAACCCTGTTTGGTCTGTGTCTCTCTCTGCCCCTCCCCGTTCATGCTCTGTCTCTCTCTGTCCCAAAAATAAATAAACGTTGAAAAAAAAAATTAAAAAAAAAAAAATAAATGAATGAGTCACCGTAAAAGAAGCATCAGAAATCTGGTATTAGTGTTTGCTTTAGTTTAAGGGTTCTGTTTTCTTTACAAGTTGCAAAAAAAAATCAGCTTACTGAGTGCCCGTTTGAGTAGGGCATTATTTTAGGTTTTTGTTTTCACCAGAGTTTGCTTTGGTTTCTCAGGTTGGTTTCGCTGGTGTCTAGAGTTGGGTTTTGGGACCAGGCTGTCTAATTTAGCCCTTTCTCCACAGTGTTGGCATGTAGTCTACTGTTCCTTATAAGCAATGATTTAGTGCCTGTGTAGGAAATACAGATATTCAGATATTCATCAATTCAAAACCTTTCCTGGGAATTGACATGTTAATTTACATAGTGCTGGGTTATTGAATCGATCTTAGATCTACATCAGTTTCTCCGGTGTCGCCTCTGTCCCAGTGCTCCCTCTGCTGGAACACAGTTTGTGGCTGCATATTGCTGCTTGGAATCGGTCTCATAACTTGTTGAGTAATATTTTTAACAATATGACTTTTTTCCCCCCAAATAGCACTTTGAATTCTTATTCTTTGATGCAAAGCAAATGTGAAGTCTTGTTGGATCAAAGACTCATTCGTTACTGAGATTACTGTCAATAAAGAATTTCCTGTGAGGTAAGCAAGGTTAGTCAGAATCAACCAGATTTTTAAAATATCAGCTGATGTACTTTTATTTTTGCTTTTTTGCAATTGTTTTTTTTTTTCTACTCCCT